TAGTATTTTAAAATTATTATACTAATTAGCACGGAATAAACGTGCAACACACGTGTTCGAAAACTAGTTTATTATAAAATTTCATAAGTAACCCTTTAACAAAATGCAAAAACAACCCAAAATTAGATAGTTAAGGAATTTGTCAAGCAAAGCATGATTCGGTATTTTGATCTGATAGCATTATTGATGTTACACCTACTTAGCCTAGAGTCGATTACTATAATTTCGAAGCGAGTAACCTTTATGAACAAAAAATAGCATCTTCCTATTTCTACTAAATGTAATTTCCTTCATTGATTCATGTCATATAGTAGATTTTGACAACTTGTGAAGTCAATAGATGGTCATTAAAATGAAATCAAAAGAATGATCAATTCTTGCGATTCAGGGCTTCATTTTAGTTTTTTCTTTGTGGATCTATTCTTCTTCAGTCTCCACTCTATAAAACTTGAATTGTCAAAGTTCACAAATCGTTGTCCAAATCTTTGAGATTTATCTTCTTTTTTTCTTCCTCAAATATTTTTTTATGAATAAGTGTACCAAATCTTTTAAAATAAAACTGCATAATATTTAATTTTATTGTTTGTTTTAATTTAATATGAAGTGAGGAATCTTAGTAGCTTAGTTTGTTGCCTACCTGAGGGTTCGATTCTCCACATTTTAATCCTCTTCCCTTACCCCCATTTTTTTTTAAAAATTAATACAAAATAAACGAACAAAGCAGAGAGAGAGAGAGAGCGAAAGAGAGAGAGAGGAGAAAATTCAGCTTAGAATAAATTTATTTTTATGTTTCAAGCTTTTACCAACCTTTGGTGACGACAACAATAAGAACAAGATCGGAAAAATGAAAGCATATTCAAATTAAAGAGGTCTTTTTTGTTCACTTTTACAGTTAATGTAGAATCTTTAGAATTAGATTATTAACTGTAAATTAAATAATTATGTTTAAGTTTTATTTTCAATTTTAATAAAAATAAATGAAAACTTAAATGAAAATTCATTGAATATCCAATTGGCCACTAAACTTTCGGTAACGACTTGTTTCCGTCGTTATGGAAAAGCCAATGGGGAAAGAATTTGGGCATGAAAACTTCTAAGTACTGACTTACAAAATTGTAGCCCCAGATTTGGGTGAAATCTGAGTCAGGAGAGGTCTAGGGAAATTTGGTAATGAATGGGAGATCTAATTATGAATTTGATCACATGAGTGGATAGCTAAGACGTTAAGGAACCCGTACAACTTTATGAAATCAAATTTGGGCGAGTAGAACTCCCAAAATTGATCTTGGCGTGAAAACGTAGTTTCTGAACGTCAAGGGTGGAAGGTATGTTGTGAAAGGGGAGCTTGAAACTCAAATTCCGACTTTCTGTCTCCATGCAAGCCGCCAAAGCGGGGTTAGTTCTGCCAGAGTGGTGCTGCTGTGGTGCGTTGGGTCCCGCTATGGCGGGACAGTCGCAACTTAAATCGAGGAAAACTCCAAATTCGTTATTTTCTGTAAGCCTTCGTTCTTGAGAGCTAAGAGATGACCCAGGGCTATTTCTTGATGGATTCCCATGACTTTTAGCGCAATCCCCTAATCCATTTTTCGATCCGTAAAACTTAGATTATTGGGTAATTATCATTGGGAGAGGGTTTTGGCCTGAAGTTAATGGTGGGAAAAGACCTAATTGAATAATAGGATCTTGGAGTGGCCATAGATTTATACATTGTTTATTTTCCGGGTAAATTAGGTCTTGTTTATTAATCCTTGCGTTAAATTACTTGTTTTAGACCAAGAACAAGCGGAAAGAATCCGAAAAGGGAAGGCTCAAGTGTCTTGGGAGGATTCGAGATTGGTTTTGAGGTAGGTGACGGTTTGATTTCTTGTTTATGTGATATATGCTGATTGATTGCAACATTGCATGCATACGTGTATATGATTAGGGAAATATGAATCGAACCTAATGAAATGATGATGTGTGAACAATACATGCCATGAACCTGTTACTTGATTAAATGATTTGAGTATTGTTCATTATAGATGTGATTGTGGTTGTGTTGATTAGATCGGGTGTCACGTTCTGACACATACATTGGATCGGGTATCACATTCTGACACATACATTGGGTCGGGTGTTACGTTTCAACACATATATTGGACCGGTGTCACGTTCCAACACATATATTGGATCGGGTGTCACGTTCTGAAACATACTTTGAATAAGGTGTCACGTTTCGACACACTACACTACAAGAAACAATGTTTATTGTCGCCACAAAAGGTCATAAAGTCGCCACTAATGATATATAGTAGCGACTACTTCCCCGTTGGTAGTACTTCCATAACTAAAGGTTTTTTGTGACGACAAAAGAAAGTCGCTACTATAAAAGAGTATTTGTGGAGACATAAAGCATCACAATATGTAAATAACTATGCCACCAAAACCAACGTTACAATAAAAATATTTGGCCTAGTCGCCACTAAATAACGATTTTTAGTGGCAACTTTGCTGCCACAAAAACCTATAATGATCTGTGGCGAGTTAATATCGCCTCTAAAAACACGACGTTCAGTGGCAACTTTGCTGCCACAAAACTGATAAATTATCTGTTGCGAGCTGATCATGTCTCCTCTAAATAAAGGTATTTAGTAGCGACTCCTCCCGCTACAAAAATATATTAACTATCAGTGGAAACCCTTTTTCTGTTGCAAAAGGCTACTTTTAATAACAACGTAAGTCGCCACAAAAACTACTATAACATTTGCTGCAACATTTATTTCATTACTAAATAATTACCACTAATCAACAATAGTAACAATAAAAACTATAAATCAGATTCTCTAAATTTAATATATAGCTATTAAGAACATCTAAAGTATTTCACAAAATGAAAATATTATAAATACAAAAAATCAACTACATAATAGTACTTCCATTAATGTTGTATCCATATACATACATGTGATCAAAATAAAAAAATAATTTCAATTGTATATGCATATACATATGGTCAAAAAGCAAAAACTTCCATTGCAGGCCTTCAAACTTCTTTTAGATTGGCCCCATTGTTTAAGAAACCTGTCCTTGTAATTAGAAAAAACACAATCACTTTCTAATTCAAATAATAAAAGAGGTGATATAGATCACATAGGAAAAGATAAGTGTCTTATTTGCATATTTCATTCTCCTAGAATTTCCAGCAACATTGAAAGACAGGTTTCCTAAGTCTAATGCATCTAATGAAAAAATTGAACAACCTCAAGTAAAGCCTCTCTATCCTCCCAAAAAAGATCAGATTGTTGAACCTATTCCTTATACATTAGTACAGACTTATGCTGATCGTCTTAGATATAATCAGGCTAAGAGTGATGTCCCTATATCCCTGACTATTGCTTTTACTATAAACATCAAGGTCATTTAGATCATGATTGTACGATAAAACAAAGAGATGAAGACCATAAAAAAGAAACAAAATAGAAAATGGAAAAGCCAAAAACAAAAAAGAATTTGATACCATTCCTCAACAGTCACAGGTACAGAAAGAACCAGGTCAAAAGGAGGCCAATAAAAATAGATAGCAAAAGGACCTGGACACAAGAGGAAAGCAGCAGGGGGATCACTAGCAAACACAAAGAAAAAAGAACACTAACCAGCAGCAAGCACCAAAGAGTCTCACCAAGCAGGCTGATCAACAACATACTTCACAAGCGCGTATAATCTCTATTCCTACACACAATCCTTATACTAATCTAAATGTGCAGGAACACACACAAAGTGTGCAGGAACTAACCAAGGGCTAGGGAAACACAAATGCTAGCAGTACTCAAGCTATCACAAAAATGAGTCTGCAGCAACAGGAACAAGGAGAAAAGCAAATGAATGTGGCAAAGAAATCTGGAAAGGAGATTACTGCAACTCCACCACAGGTTGATCCTCAAGTTCCAGTAAATAAAAAAGGCAATCAAACAAAGGCAGTGCATAAACAATAGTTCACTGCTTGCAACAGTTGGAATCAATCCACGATTCTCAAAATAACAGGACAACAAGTAAATTTGGTTCAACTACGACACAGTATGAAAAACAACTAGCATGTAACAAGGCATTAGCAAACACAGAAAACATTCCTGTATTTTCAAACTTCCACCAGAAGATTAACTCGTATTCTCTTTGTATACGTTTATTCACAATCCAGATTTAAAGAAACAAGACCAATAACTATAATAAGTAAGAAATAAGAACTGTCAAAGAAATAAATTGAATTGTTAAGAAGAAAAAGATAAAGTACCTGTTGCACCCTAGTCATGATAGCGGCCAATTGTTCTTGGAACATTTTGTCAACTTCACCTTTCATGTGTTCACGCTCCTCTTCCAATTTTTTTTGCAGATCTTCTTCCATACTCCTTTTTAAATATGCCGCCATGTGTTCATGTTCTTATTTTAGCTTTCGTTCCATATCAACTTGCATCTCTTGATGCATACTTTCTATTGCTGAAGACACATTAGCCTCTATGTCTGCCTGTTGTATTTGAGCTTTTTTAGGAGGCTTTTTCCCATATCCTTTTCCGCGAACATAGCCTGATCTCTCACCGAGAATTGAGGATAAAATCTTATCCCTAGTCATGGGATTTTCGATCTCTTCTGATTGTTGTTCAACAACAAGTTGTTCGAGATGGCTCTATAATAATATGTACCAGTTACATCAAAACATAATGGACATATTGAAACTAACATGTAGTAAGTCAGTAAGATAGTAAGGCAATGATTTTAGAAAATTACATGAATCTGTTGGGATTGTGGATCCAACCATACACGTTATCCGCTAGCACTTTTACGTGTGTTGGATCTCCCAGACTTTATCTGGTGAGTTTTTTTCTCCCGTTAGTGAATCTCTCTGCAATATAATTCAATAAGGAAAATACACAAGAACACGTATATGTAGTAATAGGAGAAAAATGTATTTTCACCGTAGATTCCTCTACTTCTGCAAATGATCTTGTACCACAAGAATGCTTAGTTATTTATTTTTCTCTATTGTTTTTGTTTCTTTCACTGATAACCTGCAATAGATCAGAATATATTTATTTAAAGAGAAAACTAGCATTCGACCACACTAGGTATTTTCTAAATTCAATAACTCTTGTTATTAATTAAATTACCTTGAATTTCTCACTGCCAAAATACTTAACTAGGTATTTCCAGTCCTCCAACTCAACATCCTCAGGACGATTAGACAATCTGTCTTCATCCGTATTATAGGCACAATAGTGATTATGTAATCGAGCTTTCCAAGCTCTAAAGAGTCTTTGCATAGTGCTTATCACAAAGCCTTGTAACTTATGTGCTCGCAGCCCACCAGAAACTTCAAATTTGTCCTGAACAAAATGTAACATTAAATTTGATAATTCAAGTAATATAAAAGAAATACAACTTTGAAAGTGATTTATTACCTTGACCTTATACCACATTGCTTCTCCATGTTTTGAAACAATATTCTGCCAATTTCCATCTTGAAATAAGATACTCATGATCAAGCCTGCATAATTAACAATATCTCTAGCCCCTGAACCCACAGCTCTATCAATATCATCTAGAATGATTGCTTTGATATTTGCTCCATACTTAGTTTTAATATTAACAGTTTTAGATTTATATTTCCCTCTTCCTCTCTTTCTATTGATGCGAGAAACTGCAACGAATAAATTATTAGTAAAAGAAATGTATCACTGAATATTCATTCTACTGCTTCATAATGTATACTAGTTTTCATAGTTACTTCACCAGTATAAACCAATGACCCCAAATTGTTGTCATAAAGGGTTTTGAGTCTTTTGAAATTTTGTTATAAAGTTAACACAACAAACAACACTCAATCATTATATAGATAAGAACATTTAACAAACTCTATTTTCTGCTAGAGATTCATGTTGTAACATGGCTACACTCGTAAACAAGAATGAAGCAATAACTAGCTCTACATTCCCGGTCAAAATTGATATACACTCGTATTACTACACCTAATATACTTGCAAAAAGAATAAGTATCACATGAGAACCAAAATCAACATCATGCAGTCAACTGTGTTGAACCAACTGCACTCATCATGTGCTGAAGTTGCTTGATACTAAGCAATTGAGTCTATCTACTAGGGAGGTACGTGAACTAACCTGCAACAATTTCAACCTCTAGGGAGGGACATATACTTTCTTCTAGATTTCTTGATGATTGTGTCCCTGGAGATGTTCTTTGGAGAGGATCACTTGTATATTTGTTCCGCCTGTAGACGTCCTTGACTTGGGGTCAGGTCTCTGTCCTTTCTCCAATGATACTTCAGCAACTCTTATTTGTTGTATTGGTAGCTGAGATGTAGTACCAAAACATTCACGTTCTCGAAAATTTCCACGTCCACCTCTTGCACCATCTCTTCCACTATTACCGTTACCTCGACCAGTTCCTTTCATTTCCTGGAACATTAGATATAAAAAGAGAAGTATCAGAATCAGAAATTAAAGCTTATTATATCTACCTGCCAAGGAAAATATCGATTCATAAAGCAGAGTATTATATTAAACAAGTAAAAAATGTGGGACACTTTACTAACAAGTACTATTGTTTCATTGATGGAAATGTAAAGCATTGATTTTACTTAAAATGCTGATTCTATTTACAAAGTTAAAGCTACAAATGTCATGAATTAATTTCATGTTAGCCCAATAAGAACAAAATATAGAGAACTTATCAAAACAAGTGTTAAACATCTATTTCAGTAGTCTTTGTTTCTCAATCATCAAAAGTATTCATCACTGTCTTCTCCATCATCATCATCTAGTAACTGTTCTTCGGTTTCTTCACTCCCAGGTACATCTGTATGATTGTCATTAATGAAATTATCTTCCTCATTTTCTTGATCATTGTTACGCAAAACAGTTTGTGGTTCAACATCATCCCTGTATAAAGACACATGAATATCAGGTTCATGGTCATTGGGACACAAAATATTACATTCCACTTCCTCTTGTTGATAACCTTCTTCATTCATTACTGCTTCTTCAACTTCAGGCATATTAAAAAGATCTCGAGGATTTGTCTTTACAACAACGAGCCAATCTTTGTCAACTATGTCTTTCAAATAGAAGACTTGTTCAGACTGAGATGCCAACACAAATGGCTCATTTGTATTTAAGGCACAATGAATATTCACACTTGTAAAACCATATTTGTCAATCTTACATCCTCTTCCTAGGCGAGCCACATCCCACCAGTGACACTTGAATAGATGAACTTTTCTATTTCCAACGTAGCGTAACTCGTAAATGTCCTCTAATACACCATAATACTCCTTATTAGAGTCTGAATCATCTCCTCTCACAAGAACTCCACTGTTCTGTGTTTTTCTCACAAGCTCTTTTGTTTGTAACCTAAATCCCTTCACCATAAATATTGAATATCGATGCACCAATGGTTCTGGACCTACAACTAAGCTTATGAGCTCATCAGTTGTGCGTCCTTGTGAACTAGTACAAATATCTACAAAAAATAAGACTTGTTCATACTTAGATGTCAACAGTAATAGTTAATTAAGTGTTTTTCATAAATTCTTACACGTGCACGAAACCAATTAATAAAATCATTATTCAGCATTCCATGAGGTCTCGTTGAACCTTGTATTTCAATCTCTCTCATGTATTCCCTACATTTTGTGTTAGTTAAGGTTAATTAAAATATCTTTATGTGAAATTAAATCTAAATTAATAAGAACCTTACTCTATGAAAGGTGAAACCTCTTCACAATTTTGAAGAATATACAAAACTGTTTGGTTGAATTCATCATGGGGTAGTTTCTTTCCATCAAAAGACCCCTTTGTTTGCCCACTTTTTTTAAAGATAGACATCTCACCGTTTGATTCAAATCCATCATCATTTCTTGTTGGTTTATTGAACTTAGTTGAGATACTCTTAAAATAGTGTGAGAAAAATGTAATGCCTTCATTTGCGTCATGACCTTCAGCAATTGCACCTTTTGGATGACCAGGATTGCGAATATATGATTTAAGTGTTCGCAAAATACCTATAAATAGATTTCCAATTTATAAAATATGATATTTAAAACATATTCTCATCGAAATTACAAAATGATATGTTACCTCTCAATAGAGTACATATCCCGATATTGAACTGGTCCACCAAGTTTTGCCTCTCTGGCCAAGTGTATCGGCAAATGAATCATGACATCAAAAATGCCGGAGGAAAACCATTTCAAGTTTACACAATATGATTGGAATTTCAGCGTCAAGGATATCAAGATCTTCAATTGTCAAGCACTTAGAGTATAGATTCTTGAAAAATTTGCCTAAGGTAATAATTGGTTCACACACTTCCTTAAGCAGTTAACCACGTATAGCAACTGGTAAAATGTCTTGCAATAATACATGATGATCATGAGACTTCAATCCATGTATCTTTTTCTCAAGTACATTAACACACCTTGAAATATTTGATGAAAAAGCATCCGGAACCTTCAAATTAGCTAAGAAATTACATAGCTTGAACTTCTCATCATGGGACAATGCATAGCATGCTACCGGTAACAAAATTTTATCTCCATCCTCAATTGGATGCAACACTTGCCTAATACCAAGGTCCACCAAATCATATCTACTTTTCAATGTGTCTTTTGTCTTTCCAACAATACTCATCACAGTTGATAAAATGTTGTTAGACACATATCTTTCTATGTGCATCATATCTAGGTTATGTCTTAACCTAAGACTCTTCTAGTAAGGCAAATGAAAAAAGATACTTTTCTTCCTCCAGTTATAAGCATTGGCAGAAACATTACGATTTCTCTTTTGTCCTTTACCAAATCTCACATTGCCCAAATTTTGTAACTGTATAAGTGCTTCATCACCTGTTGAAGGGCCACGTGCGACAACTATTTCCACTTTCCCATCAAATAACACGCTATTTCTATGCCATGGATGATTTGAGGGAAGGAAGCGACGATGCCCCATATAACACAACTTGTTACGTAAGGAAATCGATTATGTGTCTTTATGGCAACAAGGGCATGCAAGCTTTCCTTTGGTTGACCATCCAGAAAGGTCCCCATATGTAGGAAAGTCATTAATCATCCACATGAGAGCCACAAACATAAGAAAATTAGATTTTGACTGTGCATCATAAGTCTTCACCCCATCCCATAATTCTTTCAACTCTTCAATCATTGGTTGTAAGTATACATCAATATCATTACCAGGAGACTTAGGGCCTGGAATAAGAAGTGTGATCATGAAATATGAACTCTTCATGCAATCCCATGGTGGCAAATTATATGTAACTAGAATGACAGGCCAAATGCTATGATTGGTACTCATATCTCCATAATGTTGGAATCCGTCGCTTGCTAAACCTAGTTGGACATTTCTTAATTCATCTGAAAAAGTAGGATGACGCTCATTGAAAGATTTTCATTCTATTGAGTTAGACGGATGTCACATGACACCATCATCAATATTTTTTTCCTTGTGCCACCTCATTTTCTTTGATGTCTCTTTTGCCATGTATAGTCATTGAAGCCTTGGTTTGATAGGAAAATGTCGCAATACCTTATGAGCTACTTTCTTGCCTTTGTGTTTCTGTGACTTCCATCTAGACTTACCACACTTGGGACATGATTGGGCATTGGCATAATCGCGCCAATATAAAATACCATCATTCTTACATGCATCTATTTTGGTATACCCCAAGCCTAGGGCACGAAGAACTTTATTTACTTCATAGAAAGAGGTAGGCACAAATGACCCATCGGGAAGAACTTCTTTAAAGTGGATTAATAACTCATCCATCAATTTGTTTCTCCAATGATTAAGACACTTCAAGTGAAGTAATTTAACAATAAAGTCAACTTTGAGACTTTTGTGCAACTAGGATAAAGTTCTCTCTGAGCATCTTTTAACAGTTTGTAGAACTTTGTTGCATGGATATTTGGCTCTTCATTACCCTCTGAAGAATTCGTATTATTCTCCACATTTGTATATCCACAAGCATCGTGAATCATTCTAGTATTTTCATCATCT